CCCTGGAGAAGATTGTGAAACAAAACCCATTCCAAAATGCAGGAAAGATTCACAAAGAGTGGACTGCAATTGGAGTCGGTGCTTCAAGAACCACGACGCACAGACATATGCAAGAAAAGGGTTTCAGCTGTCACATTCCCTGTGTTAAGCCACTCTTGATCGAGACAGCGTCAGAAGCGTCTCACCTGGAACTGCTGCTGAGTGGTCCAAAGTTATGTTCTCTGATTAAAGTAAATTTTGCATTTCCTTTGGAAATCAAGGTCCCAGAGTCTGGAAGATGAGAGGCACAGAATCCATGTTGATTGAGGTCCAGTGTCAAGTTTCCACAGTCAGTGATGGTTTGAGGTGCCATGTCATCTGTTGGTGTTGGTCCACTGTGTTTTCTGAGGTCCAAGGTCAACACGGCCGTCTACCAGGAAGTTTTAGAGCATTTCATGCTTCCCGCTGCTGCCCAACTTTATGGAGATGCAGATTTAATTTTCCAACAGGACTTGGCACCTGCACACAGTGCCAAAGGTACCAGTACCTGGTTTAAGGACCATGGTATCCCTGTTCTTAATTGGCCAGCAAACTCTCCCGACTTTAACTCTATAGAAATCTATGGGGTATTGTGAAGAGGAAGATGTGATACACCAAACCCAACAATTCAGAAGAGCTGAAGGCCACTATCAGAGCAACCTGGGCTCTCAGAACACCTGAGCAGTACCACGGACTGATCAACTCCATGCCACACCACATTGATGCACTAATCCAGACAAAAGGAGCCCCAACCAAGTATTGAGTGATGTTCATGCTCATACTTTTCAGTTCATACTTTTCAGTTGGTCAACATTTCCAAAAAGCTTTTTATTTTATTGGTCTTAAGTAATATTCTAATTTTCTGAGATACAGAATTTGGGGTTTTCATTAGTTATAATCATCAACATTAAAAGAAACATTTGAAATCTATCAGTCTGTGTGTAATGAATTAATATAATACACAAGTTTCACTTTTTGAATAGAATTACTGAAATAACTCAACTTTTTCATGATATTCTAATTTTATGACCAGCACCTGCCAAAACTCATCTCCATTTTGCAACATGACAAAAACCTTGAAAGATGTTTGTAACAAAGGATGCATTAACAACAAAAAGCGACAAATCCGTTACACTAAACTCAACCCATGCCCAAACTGTCATGATGGTATAGAATAATTGAGGTTATACCATGTGGCAAAGCTGCAGCTACATTAACCCCCAATCCACCTTTCCACTTCACTGGCCGAGTAGACAAGCTGCAATCTTGTAAAATGTTCATTACCACTGTATTATCGTTACTCCAAGAACAAAACAAAAAGCTAACCCAATCATCCAATAAGATACAAGAGTATTTCAATCCAGTTTCTACAACTGCACAAAGGGTCACTCAGTGCACTTTTACTTCCATCTCTGTGTGCACCTGCACGGTCACAGTAAAGTAATTTGCAAATGGCTAATTATACTCGCATTACTAAAGCCATTTCCAACACACTAGCCGTTAGATTTACTGTTACACTCACTGATAATCGACACACAGCACATATTTTCCTCGTATGAATAAAATTATCACAGCTCACCAAAGGCATTAAATCAGTGAAGGACAGTCAGACTGAAGGATAAAAGGAAGATGTGACAGTCATTACAGTGAAGAGTGCGATATCAGTTTACATGTCAAGTGCAATGTCAGAAAATTAAAGATTTTGGGGAATCAGTGTTTCCCCTAGTTAGCTTGCCATGGCGGGGTGCTCATCTCGTCCATGATTTTTGCTGATGGTGGGGACGGAGACATGTCTGAGCACAGCTTGTACTAACAGTTTTTGAGCAGGGGCGGGAGGCATTCAACATGAGGGAAGAGGCAATGAGAGTGCTGCCTTGGGCTTTTGAGCTAGAGAGCCCGTATTTTGCGCCGCTACCTTCAGTGCCGGGTGGGGGTGGGAGGGGCAAGTTCAGTTTGGTAGGCGGGGTGCTCAATTTTGTTGGCGGGTTGAGGCACCCCGCCTGTATAATGGTAGGGGAAACACTGGAATAACTGTAGAGATAAAACAATCAGTTTACTAAACCAATACCAACTTTTGCAGAGCTCTGCCAGCAAATTCTGAATGATTTCAATTTACTTTTGGGAGAAAGCTTTTTTTGTCACCGTTTTACCCCCAAATCAGGAAAAAGAAAAAAAACTGTTTTAAACGTGTCCTAAACCTAGAACAACTGTTAGCAATATCTAATACATGGAAGAAAGAGGGATAGAAGAACTACTCCAACAGTCTAACCAGGTCCTCTGGACAGATTCTTCTTTATTGAAACATTTCTTTTATCCAAAAGACTCTTCAGTCAGGATACTCTTAACAGGTTAAGTTATTGATTTTAGCAGCACGTAAGGAAAAATGTGACACTATAAATGATAGCACAGTTTATGTAATATATAAAGAAGCAACAAAAATCCAGCAGACGCACAATCATCAAACCAAGATGACGTCTTGAGTATTCTGTTAAGCTTTACAAGAGACACAATCAGGTTATCTGACACATTATTAGTTTAACATAGTGGGTCAGGACACCATCTCTTCTCGATATGCTAACTACATGTCGCATCTCATAGCTGTCAGAGAACAAATTGGATAATTAAATGCACATTATAGACGACACATTTTTGATCCTTTTTTTTTTATCATATAACTGCTATGTATGCTCACAATTACCAAATTAATGATGTATTATTCCGCAAATCTAAGTTTGAAAGCGTTTCTGGACTACACAAGAACCACACAGGAGTTGAATGAAGCAGATGACTAAATTTGAAGTATATAAGAGATTTTGTTTGAAAGTCTGAAACCCTGAAACAAACAAAGTGAGCTCTGAGTTGACAGGAAGCAAACCAGGGATGTACAAAGTAAATAATAGGTCCACACTATTAACAATAACTACATTTATAAATAGTTTGTAAATGATTGTTTTGTATTAATTGAAAGACAAAGTCCTAAACAGGGTTATCATTCATACAGATATATGATTGAACTGCAGACAAAAATGTGATCTACAACTTTCACTGGAGAGGTTCACAGCAGAGTGAGACACGGCCAGGATTTGGATCGGTTCCTCCAAATCCAAGGCCATGGTCTTGAGCTAGAAAAAGGGTAGAGTTCCTTCACCGGGTCGGGGAAGAGTTCCTGCCCCAAGTAGAGGAGTTTAAGTATCTTGGGGTCTTGTTCACAAATGAGGGGAAAATGGAGCGAGAGATCAATAGGCGAATAGGTGCAGCATTTGGAGCTTTGGGTTGTGACCGAAATAACGAAATCTGATACAAGCGGCCAAAATGAGTTTTCTCCGCAGGTTGTCTGGGCCCTCTCTTAGAGAGGGTGAGAAGCTCAGTCATCCAGGAGGGACTCAGAGTAGAGCCGCTGCTTCTCCACGTCGAGAGGAGCGAGTTGAGGTGGCTCAGGCATCTGGTTAGGATGCTCCTGGACGCCTCCCTGGTGACGTGTTCCAAACACGTCTCACTGGGAGGAGACCCAGAGGAAGACCCAGGACACGCTGGAGGGACTATGTTTCTCGGCTGGGCTGGGAACGCCTCGGGATTCCCCTGGAGGAGCTGGACCAAGTGGCTGGGGAGAGGGAAGTCTGGGCCTCCCTATTTAAGCTGTTACCCCCTGTGACCCGACCCGGGATAAGCGGAAGAAAATGATGTATTATTGATGAAGAAAAACATTATTATAATAAAAATAGCACTTGAAACAGACTAGTACGTACTTTGATAGTCTTGTAAAATTGTAAATTTCAAGCATCTACTTTTTTTTATTTCTCAACATACAGCAATGTCAGTCGTCACAGTCCATCGTGGGGCTGGGATGGAGCAGCAGCTGAGTGTGTGTTTGGCATCACTGTTTACTGAACGTTATTGCTCAGCAGAGTGGGTGCTCACAGCTTTACACTTTTCTTACTGTGTGCCCAGCTGCTGCATACACATGACTTCCTATGATTCTCTCTCTCTAAATTGAAAGGGGGTTGGGATGACTTTAGAGGCCAAAGCATTGCAGAAAAAGATGAGCTGAAACAACTCAATGCTTTTTTAGCTCAGCGAAGCCACACCTCGATTCAAATTACCAGATTTGTACTTTCACACATTAACTGCAAAAAGTAATATTTGTAAAATATAATGACACAAAACGGTGTAGCAAACATGTACCCGTCCCTTATCTTTACACGCTTCTTCCTTTTTGGCTCGCGGGGGTCACTGGTGCCCACACTCAAGTCTATCACAGGGCCTCAAACATGTAATTCTGCTTAAATCCAATCAGTGATGGGATTGTTAATGTTTTAATAATTTCGTTTTATTTCATAAATATAGTTGAAAAAATGGGGGGGAAATAATAAAAAAAAAAACACCTAAATTGTCAAATTGATGCAGATGTTTTAGACTTCTTCCAAGTCTGACTTTAATTATACTGACAAATGTTGGCAGGGGGATAAAAAAAAAAAAAAAAAAAAAAAAAACAGCAGCCCAGATCTGAGACAGCCGTTCCATCAGTGTTCAGCGTTCATTCAATAAGTGTTGTTGTTTTAAAGAATTTGATTTGGGATGCTCAAGGACGCGTCCCAGATTGTAATCAAACTTCTAATGCTTGGAAGAAGTTTGTCGAGTCAAGTTTGATAAGAGGACGCGCTGCAGCCAGTGAGGGTCAAGACAAGAGGGAGAAGGCTGGAAGAGGGAGGGAAAACAAAAAAACATGACAAAAGGATGAAAATACAGTTTGCACGGATTTAGAAAACTCATTCCAGTCTGCAAGACTGCCTTTTGTCTCAAATCTTTCCCAAAGAGATTTTACCAATTGTTACCAAGGGTCAGGTGAGGAAAATGGATTAAATCAAAGCAACAGCTTGCATCAATATGCTATATGTTAAAGATAAGAGGCTCGTACGCATGTCAGCTGTAGCAGCTTGGTAAAGAAGAGTTCGTTCTCTGGTGATGAAGATGAAAACACTTACGTTGCCCATATACTCAGACAGGAGGTCCTGCAGAGCCTGGCGCACAGAGTTGCATTCAGCCACAATGCGCTCCCTACGGTCATCACGTGTGCATGAAGAGTCCGCCATGAGTGCTGCACCACTGATGATGCTTTCAAGGCGCTCCTCAAGAGAAGGACGAAAGCGCTCCTCGCTGAACGCCAAGGGGTCCACAATGATTTGCTTCTGTATGAAATAAAATAAATGAGTAGATATCAGCTTCTTTGCTTGCATTAGTGTTACAGACAGGACAGACGGTCAAAAGGTTAATGGACACCATAAAAAGGAGCTATTCAAACAGACATGCACAGGAAAAACAAAAACAAAAAAATTACCACCAGGCAAAAATCTTAGTAAAAAAAAAAAATCAGCCATTTGCTTTATGCCAAATAAAATCTATTAAGTTAAGATTTCTTTACAATCATTTTCATAATATAATCAGGCTGTTAAGTGGAATAGGAAAAGACTAAACTGGCATGCAGATTGATGTTAAAATGACTGTAGTAGCTGCAGGTAATCATTAAGTCCCACTCAGATCGACATGGATGGGAACAACTGGATGCATGCACTGATTTACACCTGAAGACTTCAAGAGTGGGTACAGGTTGTTTATTTTTCATTTACATTTAGAGACTTTATATACGACTAATCTGTAATTGAAGTGGCAATGAAAGATCCTTTCACTTGGCTCAAAGTTGTGCTTGTGAGGGAACTGTGCTTACCGGTACCCTCAGTGTATATTCACAGATTATTTAAGTTTAAAACCTTTGGGACTTCATTGTTGTAGTGAATCTAACACCAGATTTGTGTGTGCGTGTGTGTGCAAAGCTCACAACAACAGGAAAAACCTGCTGCTTCCAGCAAAAGGAAATTTTTCAATCTTAGCACGTGTACGGTGTGAAAAAATAAACACTGTACAAAACATTTTTGTGGAACAAAAACGGCACATAATGCAAAAATAAGTTTCAAAAAGCCATTTAAATAAAACTAATGTTAGGAAAACAAAGATCCTTCTCCTCTCCCCTGCCCGGGTTGTTTGCTCAGAAGGAACACACGCTTATGTCAGAATTAACATCTTTATTTTTACAGACTTCAAAATGTGTGAACAAGAGAATTGTATACATTTTACCTCCATTCAGGGGCCCCCGCACAATTCTGCCCTGTATCAGGTCTGTTCTCACACTTAAGACTTTTTCTCCACCTCTTAACACATCCTGTTTTCAATTTCTATCCAATCAAACACCTTACAGACTCTCTGAAGTCCCTCCTATCCCCCATTCTGTCCAATAAGTCCTGGACACACTTCCTGGTTCTCATACCTGTCCAGTCAGGCACATACAGTATTAGCCGTCATTTTTTCCCACCGAGTACATGACACATTCCTATATTTCCATTAGACAGATTTCAGCACCCACAAACATAATTTCACAATGACTGTGAGACTGATTACCGTAAAGTGTCTTGGTTGATTTTAAAAGTTAGTAGTCACTAAACAGATATCAGCTTATGACCTAGTTTACACATCTGACTGATATTCTAGCCATCTTTACATGATCTACTTCCCATAATTCATAAGCCTTATATTCACCAACCCATATTATGCTATTTTCCACAATTTATCATCAAAGGTTATTTTATTCCTAACACTAGTGATTTAGTGTAGATGGTTTTTTTTAAACCTTTATTTATACATACAGGTAGTCTCAGTGAGTCACAAGGGCTCATTTTCAAGAGACCCGTTTGGGAGCAGATGGTGGGGGTAAAAGGCCTTGTTCAAGGACCTAGAGTGGAGCAAATGGGGGTGGAGGCAGGTGTGAGTGCTTCACCATTTCCACCCACATTTTGATGCTGTCTGTTCGGGGAGTTGAACCGGCAACCTTCCAATCACAGGCCCTAACCTCTGCGCCACCACTCCCTTACTCTCTCACTTTAGCAGAGTGAATGAAAACAATATGGCCATTTTTATTCCTTTATACACAGCAGGTTTTTGACCAACTGTGCAAAAACTTTCAAAATATTTATTAAAAAAATGAAATAAAATGTCAGCCAGTATCGGAATGCTAAATGTTGTTTAAATAAATAAATAAATAAATAAATAAAAATTAAATTATGAAGCGCTAAAAAACAAACTAGGAATCTAAACGTCAAAGAACTAAAAAACACTTTAGTGAGTATGTGCAAGAGCAAGTAGACAGCCTAAATGTTTCATTTCTGGTAAAGAGACTAGTTGTCATGCTGATAGGACACCGATTTCCTTAACTTTGGGTGATCAGCAATCGGCCGATACTTGCGTGAGAAACCGATTTTACCTATTTTTTTTTATAGTTTTAATAACAATTGTCTGAACTTCATTTATATTTCAGAGCACTACCTCATGGCCAGTTAAAACACGTTTGTATTGTTTCTAGGATATTGTTCAAGGGTATGTTTTTCAATAAAATAAGATAGAAAATTGAAGGTGCATTGTGAGCTTAACACCTGACATGTCGCTTATAAAACAAAAAAATGGTATCGCCAAAATCAGAATTGGCAGATCAGACTTTTTAGAGATGGGTGATCGGCCAGAACACTGCAGTCTGTGCACCCGGTAAGGCGTTGCACTAAAATACCACCATGATTGGCAACAGGCACTGAGGAAGAGCGACAGATACGGGAAAGAATGTGTGAGAGGTTTGAAGCGGGAGCTGGTTGTTTGACTCATTTGCTAATTTTGCCCAGCACTTCAAAGCAGGCATCGAGTGATTTCAAGAAAAAAAAAAATCTGTTACGTTTAAAGAAATATTCTGCTTTTAAAACGTAACTGATGCAACATTACTGCATCACTGCCATGTTATTAAATTATTTAACAGTCTGTCCTGACAAGGATTTTAATTTAAATGTATAAAAGTTCATGAGAAATTGTGCCAAGCTTGATTTGTAAAAGAGTTCATTTGTCTAGCAGCCTGGTCTAAAACTTAAGCAGCAACAGTCTTGTTTTTTACACCTTTATGTGCTCGTTAGCAACTTCACAAAATTAATGTTTTTAAACTGGACGGTTTAAGCTTCAAATCGAGTACAAAAGAAAATATGTATAAAATAATGTTTTTGATCCAACTTAGGCTGTGGAGCTATGTCCCCTGTGCTGTTTCAAAGATTTGCTGAGGTTATCCATTAATAAACATCAGAAATTTACATATAGCTCTGTTTTTTATCCTGTTTGCTCTTGCCGAAGTTGTTTTTCTTCCTACTTTATTCTCCTCATTTTCTTTTTGTATACAGATTTCTTCTGGCTTTATGTATTGATCATTGTATGCTTCCATGTGCCAAACATATTCACTGCTACAGTATTTATAAATCTGCAAAGCACACGTGAAAGTAGTCATTTAACTTGGCAGTACGTTTCAATCTGCTAATCCATAAATAATGCACTTTAAGAAGATGCAGGTTTCATTTGATTGTTAGCGTTTTAGGAACAATCAGTATGCGTCTTAAAGCAACCATGTTAATGTGCCATTTATCCTGAATGACTAAGCTGAATATCTTTTGGTGACTCCCTGTCCTCCCTGTATTTCATTTTGTAGCATGGTTCATCGTTATACAGTAAGCGACCTCCATATGAAGGTTGGGCTGAATTCTTTATCCCTATTCTGACAAAAATAGATGCATAAAAACCATCTCTTCAGAAGCCTAACAAAAAAAAACATGAGTGGAAAAATGCTGAGAAACCCAACCTCTATAAGCCCATCTCTGCACAATTACAGATACAAACCGCTAAGATAAACATCTAAAAAGGTCCGATCTGCCTTCCAAACTTCGAAGACTCGGTTCATTTTTAATTTAACACAAACAGCATTCGTCAGCGAACACACACCAGATGGTAAAAACTATACAGCTAAAGAGTATGTTCATTTGGCTCAGCGTAAAGAGAAGATGGGCATACACGTTGCGTTCATTGTGTGAATCAACAGTGTCACAGTAGGAACACAACAACGTGTTCAGCACTGCGACTTGTTAAATGACTGAAAAAAACTGATTAACACCAGATGAGTAATGAGTTTAGCACAAGGGAAGACACAATGAAAACTTGTGCTTCAATAGCTCAATTTGTCACAGAGGACCTGCTGAATGTCTGAATCTGATTATAAACAAACCGTTCTGTAAATAACAAGGTGTGCTGTATGTCTGACAGCTGGAGGGGGAAAAAACAACATCCAATCACCTTTGCATTTATCACCGCAGGCAGCATTAGAATGATTAGACCTATTTTTAAACCATTTGTTATCTTGACGCTTTATTTCATGTCAATATTATTAGTGAGTCAAACGTTTCAAGCACGTCGTTTCTTTAGATTATATTAAGCGTTTTTTAATTCATAAGGACTTCCATCCAGTTAGATTAAAAATGTTAACACATTGACCCGTTCTAAAATTATGAGGAACCAACATTATTCTGCCCAATTCTTTCAATAACAGGTCAATAATCTCAGCAGCCAAAAAAGGGTTAAACGTTTGGAAACAGATCTTTATAAGTACAATCCACCGTGGTATTAGAAATCTCCTTTATGTGAAACAGAAGCAAATTAGGAAATGAAGTAGTACTGACATGAGCATACTCACTGCCCCCCAAAGCTATGTCCCACATTGTCCGCATTTCCTGTCCCAATTTCCACCTCGAGTTCAACTCCCTCAGGGGGTTTTGGTCACTTTATGATTCAGTTGGGTTAGTTCTTAAAAAAAATCTTTACTCGGTTATAAACTTTATAAGCCCTTGTGTATTTCTGGCAATAACTAATGTTTCAGCACGACTTTGAAAAGTTTAGCGTGAGAGGAAAAAAAATATTTGATTTCATACTTTTAATTGATTTGTGAGATCATTTACATCCATCTGTACTCAAGGGCAAAAAGAGGCAAGTGGACTGTGGTTTGTAAATCACTCATTTGACTTACATCAAAGTTGTTGAGGGCATAAGCCAGCTCTCCAGCCCCTCCTGGCTGGATCAGTGCTGAGTCTTCAGTGGATGTGGCCTGGGCAGCGTTGGAGATTCCTGAAACGGCGTGCTGGAGTTGTTTGTAGATCAGGTCACGGTTAGCCTTGTAGGCTGCCACGTCAGGGTGCTGCAGGCAGGCGCAGGACGCTTTGTACAGCAGGGGGACGTTTCTTTGGAGCACTCCACGAGCAGCAGCCATTTGGTCCTTGTGGTGAACGTCCTTTAGCTCCTAGCAGGATGACATTAAAAAGAATAAAAATTGGGGTTAAACTGAAAGCTGGAATACTCAAAAGGATGATGTACTTTCAGTTCAAAATGGGGCTGTCATTACAGAGAGACTTAAGTTTGTTACGGATGACCCAGATTTATTTCTGTCCCCTGCGGTAATACAACAGTCATAATCAGGCCATTAGAAAAGGGCCTTTGCAATTTAATGTGTTGCTATTCAGACTTTAGGATTGTATTGAAATGATATCTTCATGTAGGGGAGGGGAGCAGATAGTGACTGATGTATGATGGAAATTAAGGCCTTGCCACGAAATGGAACCATTCCAAACACCCCCACTACCAATCACTCAGCCCCAATACTTCATACATTCTCCTTGCTCACAAAAAACAGTAAAATTATAAGGACAAGCCATTTATTCTACAAAGCTCTTCTATTGCTGGCACGGATTACTTGCCATCTAAAGATGAGCTATTTAAAGTCTGAGAAATTACACACGAAATTTGTAGTTAAACATGTTCAAAGTGCACCTGAAATACAATTCTGATACTTATTTAATTTCATGACATTAAGTGGATGCAAAACGAAAGGCATATAAAAAAATATAAATATCTACATCACCTAAAATTGTTTCCTAAATTTTCATTTAACCTTCTTTTATACAGGTTAGTCTCACTGAGCCTCAAGGACTCATTTACAAGAGAGACTTGTTTTAACAAAGAATGAGAACAATCGTAAAAAAAACATAATAAAAAAAATAAATAAAAAAGCAGCATATAAATTGAAAAATTGAAGAAAATTACATTTACAAAAAAAAAAGAAACAAGAACAGCTGTTATAAAGTGATACATCATATTTTGTACTGTTTTCATGTTGTCAACATACATTTATACATACATTGAGATATTTTAGCTCTTCAGATCAAAATGTCACCTTATTCAGGAGATGGGTGCAAAAAGTTTTACTTTTGATGACTTAGTTTTCAAAATATTTATTTGCTTTAAAATTTTTGTTTTCCCATACAATAACATTCAGATCTCTTTAAATGCTACAAAAACATTGTTCTCTTTAAAATCTTTCAGCTTACTTGCTATATTTGTATTTTTATACTAATTTTAGCTTCTAGCTAAAATTCTGCTACTTTGAGCCTTTATCTAAAACGTCACCTATTTGAATTTTTAAGCTACAGTACTCATCTGCCTCTTTTGGCTTTTATCAAACCTTTTGCTACTTTTAGTTTTTACCTGGCCTTTTGATTTTAGCTTTCAGCTAGCATTTGTCTACCTTCAGCTTTTAGTTATTTTTCATTACTTTGGTTATTATTGGGTTAATTTCTAACTTTAACTTGGGATTTTGCTACATTTAGATTTAAGTACCCATTTGCTACTTTAGCTTATAGTTTGCCTTTAGTTAATTTATTTTAATTAAATGCTTCGTTTTGCTTTTATCTAGTTTTTTTTTTTAAACTACAATATTGTTAAATGTGTCTACTGGAGTAGACTGCATTTAGATTACCGGTACACTAAGTTGAATGAGTAGTGAAGCCAAACATTTGCAGAAAATGTTTTAAAAACTTAAGCAATCAAGATGGACTTTTTTTTCCTGTTTGCTTGGCATTATACAGAAATAGTGAACACTCAAAACTTGATGTTAATATTGTTGGCCACACTTTTATTAAATTGGTACAAAACAGCCAAACTAGCAGCAGCAAGACAAGAACAGTCTTACTGCAGACCAGCATGAAGATTTAAGCTAAATTATAATTATAACACACTTGTTTGATAAACCTAAATAATTTATTCTTGTCATACATAAATTACAAAATAAACTCAATTCAAGATCATTTTAATCTACAATAATGTGGAAGTGAGTGCACCTCCTGAATATGCACAAAATTTAAAACGTTTCAATAAAATACATTAAATCCACTTTGAGACCAACACTCGCACCATAGTGACAAATGGATCATTATCAACATTTCTTATTGACAAAATTTATTTTTCCCTCCATTTTTCTACTTAAAAAATAAACCTGTTCTTGTTTAGTCCACTTCACTGTTGTAATTACCGTTTGCTTTGTGGAATGAAGAGTTTACATGATAACTGTAACCATGCAACCCAGTCAACCCAGATGTGTTCCTTTAGTCTGATTTTTGCCATACGTTACCTGCTGTCTCTTGGCAGCCATCATGTTCAGTTTGTCCACCTCTGGTTTCAAGGCCTTATACTGGATTCCTAACTCCTGCTCGGTTCCTGCGTTGCGCACTTTGACCAGATTATCCTCCACCTGATCCAAAAAGACACCAAGTTATGCAAAAATTAAACGTTTTTCATGAGACAAATTCAAACTGAATTACTATTTTCAAACAAAATCCACGTAAATAAAGATATTACCAACTAGAAAGAGGGGCTCGTTTTAACCTTTAATGTTCTGCTTGGACCCTTTACAGATCATTCATGCAGTCACAAAGCATTAACTAGAACCAATTTGCCTAAATATATGCAGAAAATGTTTGAGAACTTTAACAAGTGCGACTCCACTCGGCTCATGTTATTGGTTCTTCTCAGGTGATTTGCCACTGACTCGTTTCCTGCTGTGGGCGGGATCATCAAAGTGAAAGTGCTCCGTGTTGTCATTGTTGTACGTTTCTACACAATGATGAAATTAGTTCTCTGCATTTAACCACCACATGTGAGATACACCCAGGTGGAGCAGTGGGCAGCTATGCAAGCACCCGGGAGCAGTTGGGGATTAGGCGAGGACACCACATGTGGGCACGGCAGGGAGTTGAACCTGTGACTTTCTGGTTCCAAGTCAGCTGCTCTACCACCGCACCACAGCCTGTCAATGTAAAGTGGGCAGTATCATAACAGGTCATCGTTCGAGCCACTCTGCCCGTTGTGATCCTTAAATCGCTCTATAATCGGACTTCAGTTTCTTTAGCTTGTCCCAGCACTGCCCACGAGTCTGGGTGTAGCCATCATCTGACATTTCTCTGTAAATGCACTCGTTTCTTTTGGCACCATCCATCAGCACGATGCGGAAGTGGCAGTTCAGACGTAGTTTGCAGTTTTGCTGGGTGGATCATTCAGTGACGTAGCACCACTGGTCAATCAACGGCTGCTGTCAGTTTACGTCAGAATCGGCCCCTCGGAGCAGCCCACTTGGCCCCATGAACCAGGCTGAGCGGAGGTGGGTACCAGAATGGGCAGGCCCTTAACTGGTGTGGAACCAATGAGAGACAGTGGAAAAGTGTCACTGAGTCCAAACACCATAAAAAAATCAAAAGTTGGGTTGACTTTTCACAAAAGTTTAAAGACTTTTCTTGAGGTTTTTATTGTGCTGAACATTTCTCAGCAGTATGCAACCCCTGGCAGAAATTATGGAATCACTGCTCACTGAGGTCGTTCTTGTATTGGCCAATTTTGAATTTAAAATAATATATAAATAAATAAATCACAGGCAGGCCACAAAACTATTTGTCAAAATCCCAACCTTGAGATTAGGGCTGGACGATATGGCCAAAACTTTTATCATGATACATTAATTTCGGTTGATAACGAAATAATTCAATATCGATATAAACAATATAAAAGCCTCAGAAAAACTGTACAAACTGAACAAATAAATTAATGCTCACCTTTTATTCGTATTTAGCCTTCAAAGAAATTTGAAATCAACGTCAAATAAATATAAAACTCTAAACTTTGTCATTAATAGTTTTAACTTTAAACAACAACATGAACAAACAGCCCATGCAGGTTTCTCTTTTGATGCAGCTGGGGATGTCGTTTCAGGGACATGTTGGCTCAAACTTTTATTGTGCTTCATCTTGTGACTCTCAGAATATTCTATCGAGTGGAAACTCTTCAGATGAAACAAGTTAGACGTGTTCCCACCGCTAGTTGGAACGACTGTCACATTTTGCAGCACAATGAAACCTGCAGTTCATCGGATCTTAGAAAGCCGAACCACTTCCACATCGCTGAATTATTCTTTCCTCTCTTATCAGTTAGGTAATCTGCTTTCTCTTCACTTGTGAAAGCTTGTTCAGTCACATTCTGACGGTCATGGACACTCATTTTGAAGCGAAAACTTAACGCGCGTTGGAGATTAGCCTAGCCTGCTACTGCCAACACCTTCTGGACTCTAGCTCTGTGTAACATCTACGTCACCACGCACTTACGTAGTTGTGTCACACCTTTTTCTGTCCGGGTTGAAAATGAAGCAACCCGAACAGAAAAAGAAATGAAGTCAGTGAAACGTTGTAATCCTATTGAAATATCGAAAATGTGCTTAAAACTCATACTTTTATTCAATACCGGTGATATATCACGACATATCAATATTGAATTATTGTCCAGCCCTACTTCTGGTATTAAGAAAATAAAGAAAAAGAATATAATTGTTGCAGACAGTCAGAAATTATAATTGTAGGATGTCTTCTTATACAAAATTACGTAACTAAAGCACGTAAGCTGCAGTCTAATCAGGATGCTATTGTGGCTGCCATTGTCAGTATTCAGGTGAGTCTCTTCTCAGTATCTCTAGCTGTGGGCCATATGCAGCTCTCAGACCCAGTGACCATAATCCTTGTTTTGTTATCCTGCAGGGCCACAAAAGACTAAAGCTCCATCAGGTAGCTCCCCTAAAATGCACAGCAGAACGAACCAACATAAAGCATGTCAATGGGAGACAGCCAGACAATCCGTTTAGTGGGTTGGAGTTTTTCCATGAGTTGAAAAACTCACAATAGGCTAAAAAATGTTTGGTTTGTTTTCAGACTTTTGTATTTAAAATATTGCAAACTTTCACTTGTGTTTACATAATGATCCAAGTCTGTAAACGAGCATCTGCAAGAGTCAAAACTAACGTTCTTTGTTGAGGAAAACTAATTTATTGTTTGAAATTACTGATAAAATTGTTTGTAAATCAGTAAGTATTAAATCGTCTCACCAGTTTAAGCTGCAGCAGGAGTTTGTAGACGTCGGACATGTCCGCCAGAACCAGCAGATGTGTGACGGCCGAAAGAAGGGCCCTGGCAGCACGAACCATATTGCCCCTTCTTACAGAAGAACAGGGGTCATCTGCAAATTCTCCAGAAGCCACCCGCATCGACTCGCCTGAAATTTTGTGACAAAGCAAAATACATTTGATTTATAGTTCCACAAAAAAAAAATGTTTTAAAAAGCAATCTATTCAAAAATAGATTGGGTCATTTGTTTTTAACCAATTAACAAAATTATATCACAAAATCACAAAACTAGCCAAGCTGCTCAAAAGAAATATAATTTTAAAACAGACAGTGCAATGACTTACTTTTTAAAAGTTTGTTCAAAGTTTTTTTGTGTAAGCCACTCAAACATAATAAAAACCTTTTGTAATAAAACGTTAAACAGAACTAAAAACATTGCTACTGAATTGTATAAAAACCGTTTATTATTGATAACGTTGGTTTTGAATTCCTGCTGAAATAATCTACACCACATGGCGTGTCTGAAATCAGTCACAGTCCATTCCCCACAACATGTTTACTGCGTCAGAAGTCATTATTAGAGATCTACAGGAGTGTGCAGGAAAGGTATGACGCATCTCCTGTGCCTGAATAAGGTCAGTTCGTGTCACAAAGTGTTCCTGCTCCCCAATAGAAGTACCCACCGAAAGGGGGGGGGGGGTCAAAACGACAACAATGGCTCACTGTCTGGTTTGTCCAGCGTGGCGCATTCGCTTACATCGGATGGGACTGCACAGCTGACTTAGCACACAAATTGCCTCTGTAGTCTCAAATCATGAACAGGACAGTAAATCTGAGCTTTACCTCAGCGGAGGCGACAGGCAAACGTGAATTGTAGAAAAGGCTTCACAACAACACTGCTGCATTCTAAAAACACAAAGGACAAGTACTTGTCTTGTTTATTTCCCTATAATGTGGTCCAGCTCTACAGAGACCAGAATAGGAACACGAGAATAAACGTGCATTTTTCTTTTTACGAGTGACATGCGCTGCGGAAATTGAACAACTGAAAGCCAATTTTGCCGTTGATGTTCGAGTTCACCTTTTTTTTTTTTAAACCATCTTCACAAATTATTCCACTGTGACAACAAAGAAATGCACGCGTAGATAATTGTTTTTTTAATGCGTAACAAAATGAGAATAGTCGGCACACTATTTTTAACATTTACTTTCATTTTAGTCTTTGCTTATTAAAATTATAAACTATTTACTGTCATTAAATCTGGCATAAATCTGTTCATGCAACTATTAAGACGAGAAATAAGAAGTGAGAAATGTATAAATTATAACATGTTTTTATGTTCTGAATTGAGAAACTCTAAAGCGGGGTGTCAAACTCACTTATAAAAAGGGGGCCAAAATTAAAACCTTTCAAACTAAGGGCCGGTTTCAGAAACTACATTAACTCAAGTTATATATTGGTTGAATGTTCCTCAACAAGAGTGTGATTGGTCTCACTTGACATTCTCTGTTGCACTTTTGACATCATATCAAAGATAACTGAAAAAAATTCAAGTGATAAATATTTTACGCTTAACGCATCATCTTGGGGGCCAGATAAGATGTCAACGAGGGCCACATTTGGGCCCTGGGCCTTAAGTTTGACATGTGCTCTAAAGTGTGTCGTTAATCAGATGGGTCATATGTTATAAAAATGTAACCACTGTGATGGAGCAGACCTCATGTGACTTGTGTGTCATTCTCTGAGTGACGCTCATCACCACCCTGAATAACAGTCAGCCAGAAGACGAAAACATGGATAACAGGCACATTGAAGCTAGTCAGTGGACTACCAGTGAGGTGTTACTCCTTATGAGTTTCCATCATGGGGGTTGGGGGGGGGGGGGTTTACATTACAGGTACTCCTTCACATGAAACAAATTGAGGGTTAATGCCACAAGTTGGCATTCTAAAATACAGCAATCAGCAGAAACTTGGCTCTAGCATAAACACAAAGTAACATTTACCATGACAGTGAAGATGATGAAATCTCTTGTTATAAAAACCAAGTCCAACAGGTTGTTTAGGGACATATCATGTATTAAATATCTTTAATTCTTTATCAACCAGGACATGATAATCCTGAAAGGCTGAAATGAAGGCGGCTCGACCTCTGAATAGCTGCCTCAATTCAAACTCCAGTATGGATCGTTGCACCTTACAGTTTTGAACTGAGAAAACTGCTTGAATAAAAAAGCCTAACGTCTTCAAGAATTAAAACACAAGTCTAGTTGCTTTTGATTCAATTTGTCAGAAATCTGTTGTTGCAACCAGTTAAAGCTTTTTTGAATCATGTGAGAGAGGAGCAAAATAAAAACAGAGCGGGTGCTGCTTACTTTATTTCACCACTCTGTACACAAACTTTCATGGGTTCAGAAAAAAAACAAAAAAACTTTGATTTCTTCATACTTGACATTTCTATACATATTAAAACTGCGTTGCAGTTGTTATGGTTGCTTACACACGAATAAGATTTTTTTTTCCAGTTTGCAGACTAGGGGTGCACCAATAAATCGGCCTGTGGATTTATCGGCCCCGATTTCCTTCATTTTGGGAAATCAGCCGATAATTACATGAGAAACCAATTTAACAGATTTTATGTAGTTTTAACAACAATTGTCTAAACTTAATTTAGATTTCAGAGCACTACCTCATGGCCAGTTAAAACAAGTTTGTATTGTTTCTAGGATATTGTTCAAGGGTATGTTTTCCAATAAAATAAGATTGGAAAATTGAAGGTGCATTGTGACCTTATAACACTTGACAGTGTTGATTATAAAACTAAATCAGTATCGGCCAAAATCAGAATCAGCAGATCAGACTTTTTGGAGGTCGATGATCGGCCAGAAAACTGCAATCGGTGCACCCCTTTTGCAAACCTTATACTAAAGTAGCAAAACTATAATTACAAGCAACTATAGCACAATGTCAGTCTCACACTTCTTGTAAAAACACATTTATCTACTTTAAACAGAAATGTTCAGTTTTGCCATTTCAAAGCCCTGACTTTTCATATGACAACACCTATGAACTACAGTGTACAGGTGTCATCCTCTCACAGCCAACAGGTGTGCTTAATTGAACAAACCAATCAGGTATGAGCAAGGAGCTGCAAGGGGAAGGCTTCGACACAAAAAGGAACAAAAAAGTTTTTACATTGTTTTTGCTTTTTCACCAAGTCACTATCTGTGTAGGATACATGATTTTTTTTTAAAGTATTTGTCTACCATTCGCTGAGCTGACAATAAACGGTGTTTCCCCTACATTATATAGGCAGGGTGTCCCACCCCGTCAATAGAACTGAGCGCCCCGTCTACTAAACTGAAAATCTTGGGTGTTCAGCCAATTAGGTGTGTAGTTGTGGTTATTGTATGAAGTGTTTTTTGTTTGTTTGTTTGTTTGTTTGTTTGTTTTTTGGGGGAGGCTGGTTTTAAAATCGTGTCCAAGCAATCATAAAATAATTGTGAGATCAAGGCCAGAATTAATAAGTAAGAGAACAACTTGTGTGCCTTTAGGGCTAACAAAGGCACATGTAGTTACAAATATGCATTCATTTCTAAATACATATAATTTTTTATCTTCATTATTTATAGGAACATCTTTTCACAAATATTAACCGTTTACCCATAACCCTGTTCCTCAGTGGTTTGGACATTAAAATGAAATTACATTGGTGGGGTACGAATTGGTGAAGGAGCAAATGGGCACAAACAAAAACAAAGTGCTCCAGAGTTGCAAACAACTACAAGGTCAATAAATTCACTAAAAGTTATCCAATAAGTTGCATTTAAAAGCTCAAACTTGTGGCATGTAAATGAACGAGAGCTCAGACAATCCAAATCTCAAACTAATCCGAGTCTTCTTTTTCTGTAGTTATCCTTCTGAGAATATTTTTATTTTTCCCTCTTAATTCACTAAACCACTTGAGTCTTCAATGCAAAGGTTTGATTATAAACAGCAGTATTGTGAAAATTTTATTCAACTAAAGCATATTCTGATCGTTTGCTTCGAGTTCATAGCAGTGCAATTTATGTTGGGGAAAAATTAAATGGACAAACTATAATCTCATGCAGATTTACCCATTTTCCTCTTGACAGCTCAAACTAAAGCAGTTTGTGCAGATGATCGACAACACGGACCTCAAACCAAGTCCGCACCCTCGGGCTGTTATTCCCCCCGTGAAGAAAATCAATAAGGCCATTTTCGGGCGGGAGATAGTGATCAGTGCTCCTTTAATAAACTTCCATCTATCCAACACTCATCTGCAGCCCACCATGTGCATGATGAAAAGATTAAAATGTATATCACACAACAAGCCTCTCAAACTGAAGGACATCAAAGAGACATGTGGGAAGGGTAAGAGGGAGAGAGCAAGGACAAAAACAGCTGAGTAAAGCAAACATCTACGATGATAAGAGATGTCGGCTGGCTTGTGATTTAGTTTTAATAAAACGTGTTACATGAATAATAAAAGGAACATTGTGGAGCAAGATGTGAGTTTTATAAATAATTTGAGGAGAAAATAAAAACTGTTTAAAAGCTATTCCAAAGGAGTTTTATTAATCAACCAAGTCAGTATCACTGTACCACTTTTTCTCCTCTTCAAAAACAGCTGGTGAGCCACAGCTGGGTGAAATAAGCTTTCTGAATCCAAGGTGGTGGCGTTACACTCATCAATGGTTACATTATTAGTCTAGGCACGCTCCAACGAGCAGCATGGCATGGCTGACAGCTAGGCCAAGGCACCAGCTAACAACAGGCACTGAATACCAGCCCAGTGACGGCTCATCTCGACTACACTAACATTCCAGGACACAGAACTGCACACGCTTTCTAGGGACATGGTTTCTACCTCCCAACAATTCTAAGCAGAGATCTCGAGAGAAAAGACACGGTGGCACAGATGTCACTTCACAGGGTGATAACCAACCTTACAGTTTGAGCTACCTGGTCAGAAAAAGCAAATACACAGTGAAATAAGGAGAAGCGAGGCCCGATTGTGTGCTTGTTAGACGATAGAACTCAGCATCGCAAGACAAATCTTAATTTTCATGGCTAGTGAGTGAGCTGATGGTGGACTCCTGTCTTGAGACTTGTGAAACTAAAGGAATTAAATTGAAAGTAGAAGATGAGTGGGAGGACTCCCGCACCCCACACAGGAGGATACAAACATTTAAATAAATCTATCGGAGACGGTTGGAAACTATTTTCCTTTATCACTTCATGTCCTGCGCTGCTCTGATCTCTGCTGTAACAGCTTAAAAAGGGGGAGACATTTTAATTAAAAGCAGAAACAGTGGTAGATAGCTCGTGTGCATCACTTCTGCCACTAAATGAGTTTGGACTCTACGACCCACCTCAGTGGACACCTTTTAAACAGATGGGCAGGCAAATGCAGACTGCTACTGTGATCATTATCAACACAGTTTGTTAATAATGTTGACAAACAGACAAATGAGGATGGCCTCCTTTAAACCGTGTAAATCAAACCTGCTCCTTGTAAGGGGCCTTGCAAAGATCTGACAGTGCTTGAAAACATTTAAGAATTGTACTTTTGACAATAAGAGAATGTGTGTGTCTAAAGCAGTCCTACTGTTGACACTCATGTTAAAAATATATTTAGAGCCTAATTTTGCTGATTATTTTTAGGACCAGCTGAAGTTGTGGTTTTGTTTTGAGTTCATCGTCATCAGTCCCAAAGGTGGTGGTTGTAGAAGACACAAAGCCCGATAAAGACTGCCTACCTGGAGATGATTCAAACCATCTGTATGCTTTAATAAATTCTATAAATGGGCTCCTTGAGAAGCTCACAGCAGAAGGAAATTCATCTTGCTCAAAGCATAATATTTCAAGGTCTTCTTCGGCGGAAGATATGTATATAGCTTATGATTTATTTATCATTCATCCTATCTTGAGAAGCACTTTATATAAGCTAGAAACCCCACTATGCGGCTGTGCGTCTTTCAGAATACCTTGCTTACGGACGTCCTCCACTGCAGCAGTGAGCTCATCCTTAAGGAACTGACTTTCCTTTGCAATCTTCTCTCCTTTTTCAAGGAAGTTCTGGGTGGCGTTCTCCACAGAAGCAGCCAAAACATGAGCCTTCTTAGATCGTCCCTTCTTCTTGTTAGACGGTCCTTTGTTGCTGGAATTTACCAAAGTTGTTACCTAGGCAAAGACACAAAATGTAAAAAAAAAAAAAAAGAATTCTGTTAAAAGATTAGACTCAGTTGACAGACTTTATTTATTGTATTAAATAATACCTTTAGCATCCCTGTATTTGCCTGACAGATGATCAGAATGTAACTAAGATTTCATTACTACTACACAGCTGAGAAGAAATTAAATGTTTGAAAGATGGTTTACCAGCTACCATATATTGTGTTTTTGTCATTTCAGAATATAACAAACAAGAAGCCTATTTGACTTTAGAATTCATACATTTATTGTTGTTTTCGAAGTCCACAGTCGGCAAACTACTCTGTACATCGTATTACCTGCGTGACAAGGGGCTCCAGTAATCTCTCCACTGCCAGAGTCCGAATCTCGAGACTCTTTGGGTCCCATTTAAAGTTGATGTTGGCTGTGTTGATGCTCGTCATTCTGCCTAGTTTTTATTTGTGAAAAATAAAAATGTTAGGTTATGGAAAAATATAACAAATTACACATGGTAAAAAAATAATAATCTTTGTCTCCCTCCCAACAAAATACTGGTGGTATATTTGTATACCATACTTTTCGGTCTATAAGGCGTATCGGATTATAAGACACATTAGGCGAAACAAAACAGTCGGATAAGTCAAACTTTATTCAACTCATTCACAATAACCACGTAAAATCAGTTCGAGGTCAGTAAGCACAACCAGAATCAATACATAAGGTTCACTCTCAATGTTTGATATAATTAAAGGATTTTAGTGTGCCTTGTAGTCCACGGTAGTCTTACTACATAAAAGATCGTACAGACTACCAGACTAATAATAACAAAACAAAGTTAAAAAATGTAAGATAAAAATTTAAATTCTATTTTCTCAAATAATCAACAGGTTTTATATTAAAATAACTTGACAAAAACAATTAGTTGATCAATAAGAGTCTTGTTTTGTTTTTCAAATCCCAACACACTAGTGTAAAGCTTGAGCTGAGTGAATCTTGAATTTACCATCCCGGAGTCATTCTTTAATATAAACAACAACAACATTTAGTTTGTTTGAAATGCTATTTTTTTTTTTTGTATTTGCTTGTTTTCCTTTTGTTTGGTTCTTCCCACGTTACCAAACCCAAAGTGAAGTTGCATAATCACATTCAACAGCTTTAAAAAAAGAATGTAAACACATTGATCCAGGACAACCCACAGATAGGCTAGAAAATCTAGATCAAAATCCGTCAGAAATCAGTTTTAGGACCCACACGCTTCATAATCTACATAGGTAATGTAGGTCAGATCATTCCTGATGCGTTCTTACATTTTTATGCTGACGAGACAGTTGTTTATCGTCGAGCTAAATCAGTTTCTGCTTTCAACATCATCCAGTCAGATTTGTTCCGTCTCAAACTTGTGCTAAATGCTGATAAAACCAAAGGGATGTTGTTTTCAAACAGGAAGTTGTTACCAGCAGTTCTTCCTTCTATTTTATCCTTGAATGGTGTTCCTAAATTTGTTGATTCTTATAAATACTTGGGAATTTGGGTTGATGCACATCTCTATTTTAAGCCTCATGTCAAAAACTTGGTAAAGAAACTGAAAGTAAAACTGGGTTTCTTTTATAGAAATAAATCCGGTCTAACTCTGGATGCCAAGGAACGTCTTGTAACTGCTACTTTCCTTCCCTCCATTGACTACAGTGACATTATTTACATGAACGCTCCTACAAGCACCTTGCAGATGTTGGCTGCCGTCTATGCCGTGTTAAGATTCATAACTGGCTGTAACTATTGTACTCATAACTGAACCCTGTGTTCACTGGTCGGTTGGTCATTATTAACTTCACACAAACTCACACACCGATACATTTTCATCTTTAAAATCACTCCTCTGTCTGCTGCCTTCAAAAATCTTCTCCTACAAGTCATTTGTCAGTGCAGCTACAGCGTGTGCTCCCAAGACATCATTATCTGCAGTGTACGCTCTGTGCGGACCGAATTTGGCAAAAGGGCCTTCTCTTACTCTGCTCCTGTAACACCTTGCAAAAAGATCTGAAGCTCTTGACTTTGTCTCTAAGGGAATTTAAACTACTGTTAAGTTCATGGCAAAAACCAACGCAGAAACGTTCCTGTTTTTAGTTTCTATATCGCTTTTTAATGTAGCATGTTTTTTTTGTCGTCGTTTTATATCACTTCTTTGATATACTTTGCATTTTATGATTTTATATGAATGTTTATTGTCTGTACCTAATTTATATTTTTTTGTTTAAAACTGGTCTCTCTTGTAAATGAGCCCCTGTGACTCGATGAGACTAACCTGTATAAATAAAGGTTGAATGAATGAATGAATGAAAATTATGAAATCAGAGTTTCGCAATATAGGCATGATTACTTGTTTTTGTCACTGAGATCATTTTTTAAGCTCAAAGCATACAGCTAAAGACAGGTCCAAGCTTGTTCAGTACTGATGGGGCAACTTAAGCTCTTATCTTGTTGATGTAGCAATCAGTTCTAGTGAAATTTGCTTGAATCATTTAGTAAGACTTATAGCTACACCACCTTGTTTTTCTACACATCTAACAATTTTCATTTCCTTAAAATCACTTCTCTTTTCCATTTATATTAAAACATTTTTCTAATTCATTATTTGCCACGTAATTTACTTAAGTGCAAGGCTTGCCTTTTAGAAAAGTAATTCAAAACCAAGTCATAATGGCACAAAAAAGGGATCATGAACCCATTTTCTTTTACTGCAGATGATGGTTCCTACTTTCAGTCTCCCAGTGCTGTGAACACGGAGAAACCCTATTGGTATTTACAGAAGTTAGCCCAGAGTTAATCTGAACTATAAGAAATAAAACACTTAAAATTAATTATCCTTTAAGATCTTTATATTGGCCTCAAAAAGTCTGAGCAATAATCAAAATATTAAAGCCCTTGTTGGAGCCAAAAACCCTTCCCTCAGAGAATGACTGCCAAATAACACTGTGGCCCAATTTCGATTTTTCTTTTCAGGCTGTGACTGCAACTCTATTGATTAGCCATCAAACATGGAGCTAGCAAGGATAATCAGCAAGCCCTGAAGGCCAGGGAACGTAGACTGAAAAGTTGGTCAGCTGTAATGTGAAAACAATGCCTTATCTAGCTAATGCCCTACATTGGCAACAAAAACTAGTGGAAGCAACAAAACATGGGCTCTACTAAAGTGGGTATAAAACATGGGTGACAAAGAAATGGGTACCTAGACTTCACATTTGACTACTCCATTTATGACTCTAGTTGAGTTTCAGTTAAAAATACATGACTATATAGGTAGAAAATTAATACAAACTTAATTCTAGCAATTGTGTCCTCAATTTAAAAATGGGTATTCCTGCCAAAAAATACACGGTTAACCTTCCCAGTAAGGGTGTGGCAACTCCAAAAAGGTAGAAAAAAATCTTAAATTCAACCATTGCAGTTGTTTTTGTAATGCTAGAATAAAATGTTCGAATTAAAGTTAGTTTTAACCAAGTTTTTAACATTAAGAAATGTGGGGTGAGGTGATGAAAACACCTGGTTGCTAACGTTTGGTGCGAACTGTTACAGGAAGTAGCTCACCTGTCGTCGCTGGCAACTCAAACAAATGTTACCTGGTTTATTAAGGACCAATTGAGGAAAAATAAAAACAGAAAGTGTCGTTTATACCATCTCTTAATTAAAAAAAAAAAAGTGAATAATTCAACAAGTGCTTTTAGCGTGACGTAACGTTACCTGCTACATAACGAGCCTTGCTAACGTTAGCCGACAGGCAACAAACACTTTAAACACATTCGCTCAAGTGGAGGAAAAACTTCGTCTGTCGAGTTAAAATGGCTCTAAAAACACCCAATTCGTTTATTAAAATCTTAAATAACCTGTGTGGACGAAGTAACGAGGATACGCTCCGGACTCACCGACAACAATCCGCTAGATTAAGTGGAGTTTAAAAGTTCAAAATGGAGGAAGTCTGGGATCCTCCAGCTGAAAAGTTTTCCTCACCTCTCACGCGGGCTGCCTCACAGCTTCACCGCCGAAACTGAGCTGCTTCCAGTCGGGGGAAAATACCTCGTAAAGTCAGCACGGTTGTTAAAAAGAACAATCTTCCCCACTTTTCCCACTGGCTGGAGAGTTTCGGTTGAACCCGTTCCGATTGCCCAACAATGGCTGAAGTAGCGAAGGGGGGCGGGGCGGTGACCGAATATCTTGAACTTCCTGGCGGCGGAGGGAGGGAGGGCGACCACAGGCCGCAGCACGCCCGGACAACACGGACGTGTTCAGGGCGTAGTCCCTCCGTGCCTCCATGTCTCCATGTATGGGTTAATTGTTGCTTACGAAAGAAAACAGAGATCACTCCGCTGAGCAGGGACTATTGTCTGTTTTATGGAGCCTGAAGGACATGCAGGCTGTCAGACAGCACAGCTGAGAGAAGTGAAATAACTGGGGAATTTGAAGTATTCCTGTGGCAGATATCCATGAGGGACTCAGATTTTCCATGTCAAGTCTTCCCTGAAAAGCTGAACTCAACTTTCTGTGTGGTTTAACACAGACTGTACGTTTACTTTAAGGAATCTTCTAGAATGTCTCTATTTATGATTTACAAGTAACTTTAAATAACCTTAGAAGGACAGAATAAACAGGAGTATTATCAAAGTCACAATACAGGGATCAGATACTCTTGTTTTTTTTCTGCTGCTTCTTCTACTTTTGGTTTTTCCCTCTTCAGGTGTTGCTACAGCGAGACACCCTCCTCCATCTAAATCTGTCCTCTGCATCCTCTGTCCTCAATCCAACTACCTCCATGTCCTCTTTAACTGTATCCATATATATCCTCTTTGACCTTCCTCTTTGTCTTTTTCCTGGCAGCTGCATTTCTAACATCCTTCTACCAGTATACCCACTGTCCCTCCTCTGGATATGTTCAAACCATCTCAGTCTGGCATCTCTAACTTTATCTCCCAGTTGTTCAAACTGTGCTGTACCTCTGATGATCTCATTCCTAATCTTATCCATCCTTGTCACTCCTTAGGAGAACCTCAACATCTTCATTTCTGCCTCTTCCTGTTCTTTCTCCAGTATTTGTGTCAATGTCTCTGTCTCCAGACCATACAACATAGCTGGTCTCATCACTGTCTTTTGGCATTTGCCAAGACCCTTTTGTTGCAAATTAACTCCTGAAACTTTTCTCCATCCACTCCATCCTGCCTGGACTCTCTTTTTCACTTCTTTACCACATTCCCCATTTTCCTGGACAGTGGACCCCAAGTGCTTGAAGTTCTGCACCTTTGTGACCTCTGCTCCTTGTGGCCTCACTGTTCCACCAGCCTCCCTCTCATTTACACAAATGTACTCTGTCTTACTACGGCTGACTCTCATTCCTCTTCTTTGAAATGCATACCTCCACCTCTCCAAGTTCTCTTCCACCTGTTCCATGTTCTCACCACAGATCACATCATCTGCAAACATCATAGACCACGGGGATTCCTGCCTGACCTCATCTGTTAGTCAGTCCATCACCAGAGCAAACAAGAAGGGGCTCAGAGCTGATCCTTGATGCACTCCCACCTCCACCTTGAAGCTATCTGTCACTCCTACAGCACATCTCACCACTGTCCTGCTGTCCTCATACATGTCCTGTACCGGTCTAATTACTTTTCTGCCACTCCACATTTCCTCATGCAATACCACACCTCCTCCCTCGGCACCTTGTCATATGTTTTTTCTAAAGACACAATGGAGTTCTTTCTGACCCTCTCTGCACTTCTCCATCAACATCCTCAAAGCAAATTGGTTCCTACCAGTTCATACTGAAATTTACAGATCTGGTAAAGTTTCAAACACTACTAATTTAGCTATGAACCAAACAGGATAATTTATCTAAAACTGTCCAAAATGTATATCTTATTCAGGATTTTTTTCTTTGTGAGTGTGGAGTTGATTAAGCAATGTCCAAACCTAAAAATGTTTAAATGAAACCATAAAGAATTTTTTTTAATGAAATATGAAGATGTGTAAAAATATGATAGTTTGTATGAAGATATTGTATCTAACTATTGTAAACATGTCTAATGACCACATGCGTCCATGTATGACGAGTAGGGAGTGAGATTATGTTGCAAATACTGTATTTTCATTGATGGTTGTAGTAATAAGGGATTAGATAAGTAAAATTTGATAACTAATGGTGAAAGGGTGGGATTAACTAAGTATGCACTACTTCCCACTTCTTTTCGATGTGAGCTAAACAAAAAGTGGAGCAATACTTGGTCACTTTTCAATTTTATGTCGGTTTTTGTTCATCATTTTGTTTCTCTCTGTGCTTAAAATGATTAACTGTATATAATTAAGATGTTCAAAATAAATTAAGCAAATGGAAAAAAAACAAAACTGCAGAAGTTGATCAGTTATAGACGTACATGATTATTTTCTGAGAGTTTATTTAAAATCTGTCCTCTGGTTAATTAGATATTTTGCTAACAGAGTGATAGGATGGACTACTATAGATAATGTCAACATTTTAAACATTTCACATAAACCCTCCATGCTCATAGAACATGTTGGGAGAGATTATCATACCAAATTTTAACAATATTTGTAAGATTCGGTGAGGTATAGTGTTTTTTGTTTCTTAATATCAGTTGGTTATGGCAGCCATATTCAAGTGGATTAATTACAAATGTTAATTAATTGTAGATGTACTTCAATTACTATTTTTGAAAAGGTTATTAAAATTCATCCAGTGGTTCATAAAATACATTGATACCAGACAAAAATCACACACCTTTCATGATGGTGGGTAATAAATATATTTCCATGTGGCCTGAAATGTTTTAAAAAGTCATTCACTCATTTCTTCAGTAAGGGTCTTTTTAAACAGAAACCATTTATCTGTCACAGTTAACCTTGTTCTGTGTTCGAGTTGTGCAGAAATAATTTAGCAATCATTCTTTTGATTTGCTTTTCTGTGCCCGTTTCTTATTCCACTCTCTCAGAAAATAAATTAAATGCTTAAATTCCTGAGACAAATTGTGAGGCAGCGCCAGGTGAACATACAGAATATTTACACGTCAGTTTGTCAGTTTAGATTATGTAAACATCCCAGTGCTTCTGTTTCAGATTAGTTTATTATGAAACTACAAATCTTCTGGAAATAAAATTTAAAAAATCTGGTTCTGGTAATCCACATAACTTATGATCCACCTGCTTCAGTTGCACTCCCAGTTTTTTGACTGATACCTTCTGAGCCATTTGATAAACACATTCAAGAGTAACTATTTTGGTTTGTGCTTAATGACGTGTGACAGACATAAATAGATTATCTAAAGAGGCTGGAGGCCAACCTTTCAACCTCACTTTACTCACACTTAGAGCTCATGCCAATACGCATGCACATATATTCTCATACAGAAACTGTTGTTTTAGTCTTGTTGTTTCGAAACCTTCCATTAACAGGTTGCATTACCTAACCTCTTAACACATCACAAGTGAGTCTCTAATAATCCTAATATCTGTCATAACCTTTTTTTTTCATTCAACCTTTATTTAGACAGGTTAATCCCATTGAGCCTTGGGGACTCATTTACAAGAGAGAACTGAATTTAACAAAGAGTGATGACAGAAATGGATAACAACAACAACAATAGACAGTTATAAAATAGGCATAGGCATACAAATTTAAGTTTTTCTTTTTTTTAACAAATCAAAACAAAATAGCAATCAAAAGGACAGTCTGTCATAAACTTAATCAAACGCTACCATTTTGTCCCATCAGTACTTAAACTTTTGGGTTGCAACATTTTGGTCTCTGAAGGTATAACAGGCTAAACATGTTTATGGTCTTTGAATTCCATTTCTTCTTGTCTTTCTTTCAGCTTTTCCCTCTTCTGGGGTCACCACAGCAAGACATTTTCCTCCATTTCACTCTGTCCTCTGTATCCTCTGTCCTCACTCCAACTACCCCATGTCCTCTCTAACTGCATCCATGTATCTTCTCTTTGTCTTTTCCAGGCAGTTGCATTTCAAGTTCAAGTTGTGTTTATTTGTTATATGCAAGGCTAACGCAGGGTTAACAGTACAATGAAACGCTTAGGATGAGAAGAACCGATTTGACTTGCTAAAAAAATCAAAGAACAAACCAACAAGAAAATACAAAAAAGCATGCAATAAGGGTTCCCAAAAAAGTACCAAAAAGTGAAAAAGTAATTCATTAAAATATTTACAATGTCCTAAAGAAAGCTATTGAACAACAACATGGTAGAATATAATGGTGCAGCAGGCTGAATTTGAACAAGTATTTCGAGGTAGTAATACAAGCTAAAATGCACATGACATAAACATACACACACACACACACATATATATATATATATATATATATGTGTGTGTGTGTGCGTGTGTGTGTGTGTGTGTGTGTGTGTGTGTGTGCTTGTGTGTGTAATGCTATACAATAATCCAACATTTTTCAGTCAGATCATCTGGACAGTTTCTTTTTTTTTTGTGTGCTGAAACATTTCACCTTCTATCCGGAAGGCTTCATCGGTCAAGGAAACACACAACACAAAACTGATTCTTCCTCCAACAGCTTACTCCAAAGTGGAACAAACCAGTTCTGCTTGTGATAAGATGGTCTCTTTGGTACGTCCCCTCCTCCATTGCAGGCCCTCTTCCTTGTTGAAGTCTTGTCAAACTGGTTGAAAACAACAAAGTCCATGCTCAATAATCCAGGTATACAATCCAACATTTTTCAGTCAGGTCCAAAAAAAAAAAAGAACTGTCCAGATGACCTGACTAAAAAAATGTTGGATTGTACATCTGGATTTGAGCATGGACTTTGTTGCTATACATTAATATAGCTTTCTAAACCATATAAGTAGGTGGAGCTGTAAATTTCCTATTTGGATTAGATTAGACTAGATTAGATTAGACTAGATTAGATTCAACTTTATTGTCATTGCGCAGAGTATAGGTGAGCCAAGCATCTAACCACAAATGCAGTATTTACAGCCAAAGTGCATAGAATGAGTATGGAGAATAATGCTTTCAAATGTGAACTTTATATACAATAGAGGCCATTGGAATTATTATTTATATTATAAATGTTGAATGAGAATATGCATGTTTATAAATGTATGCATGTATATACCCAGTGTTTACAGAGTGGATGAAGTGAAA